CAATCATCACATTCTTTACATTTGTAAGTCTTCTCTCCAATAATGATTTTCTTATGTAGATATACATTGGATAATTGACTAAAGATTCTCATACTCTGATTACACCTGAAAGGCTCCTCCCCAATATGAGTATTTTCATGTTCAGTAAGATTTAATAATGGTTTGAAAGATGTGTCACATTCACTACATTTATCTGTCTTGTCTATAGCATGAATACTCTGAGGTATAACAATATTTGAGCTTTTATCAAAGACTTTCTGAAATTTATACTTTATCTGTGAAAACTAAGTTCTCTGATGGTTATTAGAATTTAACCCTTTTGTTAAATTCCTAGATTTACTACATTTATGGCTTCTCTATTCATTATATGCACTCTAGTAATCAATGAAGATAGAAAAGCCTTTAGTTCAAGTTTGAATATCACTGCACAAGTAAAGTTGTGTCTGATCACCTATTCTGATAACTATAAAGCCATAATGGTTGAAAATAAAACCTAACACATTTATGAAAATTATAGCATCTAGAATAAGAAAGAATATTTTTCTGTGAAGGAATAATTCAAACTTGGTTAAGGCATTTATAAATTCAGTCACAATTTACATCTTCATGTTTTAAATGATTGATTTTTACAAACATTTAACATAAATCCTACATCAAATCATCTGAAGACTTATTTACACAATGGACTAGGTGACTTCTCTGGTTTCCAAATTTCATTTCAGAGAAAATGTATTTTTAAAAGGTTTCCTTTCGTGTTTGCATTCAGAATCACATTGCTCTTCCAAAGTAACTCAAAGTAAAAATTTCCAAAATATTTTATATCCTTAACCTCTTTTGGCAGCAAGGAAATTTTATGGCTAATTGTCCCAGTTTGGTTATATGCACCATGACATCTGTTTTCTCTTCATATTGCTCCAGACATCCCAAAACTTCGATTAAGTGTAAATTCTCAATGCCACACATTATATATCTTACCTGTAGCATATTCCAACATGAATTTTCAATGCCTGGTTTTGGTAACAAGTCCTGGGTGACTTGAGAAGACACAACTGAAATATAACAAATGAATTATAACACACTACATTCAGATAAATATTCTCCAAATGTAATGTACAGAATTAACTGTCAAATGATTTCAGTGAAATGGCAGAAGAGGAATCACCTAAATTTTTTCTCCATGAAAATGGAAACTTAATAATAATTATTGACCCAATTACCTTTCAGAGTACCTAAGAGGTCAGTTCAAAGACCACAGCACACCCCAGAGGGGAAAAATATCAAAGAGGGAAGAAAAGTTGCTTGTATTTGCTCCCAATACCTGTTCGCCTTTTCTGGCACACTACAAAATGACTGTGAGATACCTTCCAATCCTCAGTTTCTTCTCATAAGAAAAACAAGAGTGTGCACTGTATGTCCAATATAGTCTTGGATTTTTTGCAACTACCTGTGGAACTTGCTTCTGTTTTAAATGACACAGATTGCTAAGGAAATGGCAATTTACCATGAATGCATTGTGGTGGCTACTAAGAAAGAGAGTAATTATTCAAGCACCAAAAAGACTGTTGTGCTGAATAAAGATATCAGGATTGGGAATATCATGTGCTCTAAATAAAAGCAAAATATATTTTAAACTGGGAAGTTACACAAAACACACATATGCAGGCTTCTGGTCTAGATGGTGGTGTAGGTAATTGCGGCACTGCCATCTTCCCACAACCACATTAAGTAAAACAACTAAACTACAAGAAAACCATCATTCACAATCTCCAGAAACCGAGCTGAATTAAGTTCTACAACTAAAGACATTAAGAAGAAGCCTCAGACAGACTGGTATCAGGTGCAAAGTACAGAACAGGTGGGGACCACATGATGAATAAAAATCAGAAGCAATATTTCAGCTGCAAGCGGCCAGGCCCGATCAGCCGGGCCCAGAGCAGCCGGGTCGGGAGCAGGCAGGCCCGGAGCAGCAGCAGCCAGGCTGGGAGCAGCCAGGCCCAGAGTGGCCGGGCCCGAAGCAGCCGGGCCCAGAGCAGCCGGGTCAGGAGTGGCCAAGCCCAGAGCAGCAGCAGCCAGGCCCGGAGCAGCAGCAGCTGGGCCCGGAGCAGCCGGGCTCAGAGCAGCAGCAGCCAGGCCCAGAGCAGCCAGGCCCGGAGCAGCCGGACACGGAGCAGCCAGGCCCGGAACAGCCGGGTCGGGAGCAGCCAGACCCGGAGCAGCAACATCCAGGCCCGGACCAGACCAGCAGCGGCTAGGCCCGGAACAGCTTGCTCCTTGCCTGCCCATGCCCCAGGGCTGCTTCTCAGACATGGATGGAAACTTTTGGGGGAACTTGAGGATCTGCTGATCAAGTGATGAAGGCTTAGATCTGGATGTGTTGAGTTGTAGTGCTGGGGTGTTGATCTCTGAGTGCCTTGCATGGGGTCTGGATGAGGTTGGTTGATCTATTTGGAAATGTCTTTTGTGTGAAGTGTACCCTTGGGCATGTGGAGGTTTATTGATTTGAGAAAATGCTAAGCAATTGATTTACTACCTGAAAAATTTAAAGTTCTGAAAGTTTAAGGTCTCTTGCCAAAAAGAGGTTTTAAAGCTAACACTTTAATTTTAATGGAGAAAAGGGAAGACAAGCCCTTCCCACTCAGAACAGGAAATCTAATTCCAGCCATCAGCTATCTTTAAACAATGTGTTCATTTACATTTGAATGGCTGCGCCTTTTGATAGCCTAAGGGCAAGTTTACATGTAAACAAGTTTGCTTCTCAGTTCCCAGGGCAGAAAAAACAAGGTTTAAAATTATTAGATTTTAAAATTTATTCTTAAAAATATCAAAGTTTATTAATTAAAAAAAAAACAAGGAAATTAAAAAACCTGATGAACAATATTAACTGTTGATTATAATAGAATCAGAGATACGGGAGGGGAATGGATTAACAATTCTCAGGGAAAAGGTGGATGCGGAAAGAGACTGAACATAAACTGTGCACCTATGGATGAGGACAATGGGGGGTGGGGAAAGGGCAGAGGGTGGGGTGGGAACCTGGTGGAGGGGGAAAGAAATGAGGAATCTTTGTAATAATATTAACAATAAAGATTGATTAAAAATATATATATATTTCAGCTGCAGAGATCACACCTGAGGAGTGAAGGATCCCCACCCCACCAGCCCAGGGTTCCAATGCCAAGATGAGATGTCCCTGTTATTATGGCTGTAAAAACTAGAATTGTGGCTGAGTGAGACAAAGAGCTGATGGAGTCCCAGGCAGTTCCCTTTAATGGGCTCGTGCTCTGACTTACTCAAACTCATGCCCTCTGAGCTCCAGAGCTGGGCAGCAGCTTGAAAGGCACCAGGGACACACAGGGAAGAACAACAATGACTGGCCTAAAGATGAGGGCTGGAGACGGACGGAGCTTTTTCCCAGACATAAGTGTTAGTAGAATTCATTCTTCCCTTTCTGAGCCCTTCACCCGCAGAAGATGAAGGCTTAGATCTGGATGTGTTGAGTTGTTGTAGCACTGGGGTGTTGATCTGTGAGGCTCCATAGCTGAGTATCAACCTGGCTCAGACTTTTCACCCCACTCTGAAGATTTCCTCAGAACCTGCTCCATGAATTTGTAGACCCAACCAAGCTGTTTCAAGTGGTTTTTTCATAGAAACAGCCCAAACAGGCTTATGCTTCAGTCTTTACTACAATGTCTCAAAGAATCAGCATCTGGCTTCAGCGTGCCTTGTACCTCTTGCTAAGTGGCCCCTGCCCCCAAACTATATAATGTTTAATTACTGGGGTGTATACCTAAGATATATATAATATTGATATAAAGTATAAATAAAAATTTAAAAAATGATAGAAACTCACACACCAATTGCACTTTCCAGAATAGGTTTCACAGGCCATTAAAAATTTACCATAGCTACCCTCATCGGTGTGGCTCAGTGAATTAGAGCGTCAGCCTGCAGACTGAAAGGTCCCAGGTTCGATTCCGGTCAAGGGCATGTACCTTGGTTGCAGGCACATCCCCGGTAGGGGGTGTGCAGGAGGCAGCTGATGGATGTTTCTCTCTCATCAATGTTTCTAACTCTCTCCCCCACTCTTCCCCTCTGTAAAAAAAAAAAAAAATCAATAAAAATTAAAAAAAAAAAAAAACTTACCATAGCTGATTGTTATTTGTGCTCTCTTGTACAAAGAAAAGGATGTTGCCTGCTTCTAATGGGCTTACAAAGTAACAAGGCTTATGAAAAAAACAGAAAAACGGTCCAACCAGAAGCACAAATAAGTCTCCATAAGTTGGTCCTAACTTAGCAGCGATCTGTTAATTATCTGACAAAGAATTCAAAACAACCATCTCAAAGAGGATCAATTTGTACATAGAGGGGGGGAAAAACACACAGAAAACTAAATTACCATAAAAACTATGCATGATAAAAAACTAAATTACCAAGGAGCTATGCAAAAAGTATAAGAAAGAACCAAACAAATATTGGAAGTTGAAGCACTCAGTACCTGAATTTAAATATACAATAGAAACATCAGCAACAGACTTGATCAAGCAGAAGGAATAATAGGATAACTTGGCCACCTATTCCCAGCCCTCCTGAGATGTGGGAACCAAATTACAGTATCTCAACCACTTCATTACAAACTACTTACATGAGGCAGAAAGGAGAATTGGTTTAACATAACATTCCTCATCAATGTGTACAGTTTCCCAGGGTCCATAAGAAATGCAAGAGTAGCCAGGTCATGCCTTCCTCACACTATTAGGGGAAGACTTTAGTTCTCACTGCAAATGTGATGGCAGATCAAAGGAGCACAAGGAGAACCCAGACATGATACCAGAGTGTATTAGAGGGTCTGTCCCTCGAAGACAAAAACAGAAATAAACCTGACCCTCTCCAAAATCATTTCCCATTGAAGCCAATCTTCCCAAAACATATTTTAAAGCTTGCCTTTCTCTGTGACTTTTGACCTCTCACCTGGGTTGTCTGCTACCTTCATTCCCACCTACCTGGCTGGCTGGATATCATCTCTTTTCTCTTCAACTCCCAGGGCTCCATCATGTGCTCCAAAAAGGTGACCAGGTCTGGCTTAGACACAGCAAGCCCTGTTTATTAGAAAAAAGGAACATGAGATTCTAATGGAGATTCTCCAATTTCCAATCCAGCCCTGGGTTCAAGTAAGAAGATAGGACATTATAGAATATCAGAGTATTTTAGGAAATTATTTCCCAAAATTTTATTTTCTGACAGCACCTTTATTATACCAGGAAACATTTAAAGTTTTCAGATCCTGAGTTCTACTTCCAATTACACGCGGAAACCTTTCTGTTCTGCATCAGCAAAACTTCAATTTCTTTCATTGGAAACACAGATCTGAAACTCTCATATAAAGCAGAAGCTCACCACTGACTCTGTACTAATGAAGAAAAGAAAACCCTGCGGGTGGAGGAGAAATCTGGAAGGAAGTGGTCCTCACCCAGGAATACCAGGTTCCTGTAGTTCTGCAGCATCACATCCATGTACAGTTTCCGCTGAGCTGGGTCCAGGCACGCCCATTCCTCCTGAGAGAATTCTATGGCCACATCACTGAAGGTCAGCTGTCCCTGAAATTGAAAGATACAAAGCAAAACAAAAATTAACACATTACTCAAGTAAACATGGACAGAGATCACAATGTGGCCCAATAAGAACACAGAGTGAACAGAACTGGTTTTGACCCAAGAGAGTATCCTGAATTACTAAGACCAATTACTAAGTATACTGAATCCAATAAGATCATTTTTATCTTCTCTAGTGTATTTTGAGAAAAGAGGATGACACACCATTTACAAAACCACTGTAGAGGCTTTCCTTTTCTGGAAGAGAAATTTTAAAAATAAAGGCATCAACACAGGCATATCCATTTTTGAGTGCTATATCTGAATCACACAGGAGCAAGTGTATAAAGTTCTTCGGTGGAGAAGTCATTCTGAGTGAGAACACCATAGTACTTCTAAAATAATAATGTGTAAAACAAGGAGCTGGAGGTCCACAAAATTCAGATCCTGATTCAGGAGTTCTGGGGTGGGTGCTGAGTTTCCAACTCACTTAAAACTATGGACACCAATGACTCTGCTGCATGTGCCACACCTTTAGACAGCACAGAGAAAGAAAACACAGGAAATTGTGTGCAGGACTTTGAGTGAAGTGTTTTACTGAATTTACAGATCTCATATCACAATCCTTTAATGATTACCATGTACTAGATATTATTCTAACCTGTGGACTGAAAGGTCCCAGGTTCAATTCCGGTCAAGGGCATGTACCTTGGTTGCGGGTACATCCCCAGTAAGGGGTGTGCAGGAGGCAACTGATCGATGTTTCCCTCTCATTGATGTTTCTAGCTCTCTATTTCTCAATGCAGGAGCTGCCCCCAGCCCACAGGGCATGTCTGAAAGTGATGGGGTAAGGGGTCGAGCCAGCGAATGGGCGGTGCCAGGCCAGCCAAGATGGGACCCCTGATCGCCCTGCCAGTTGCCCCACAGATTGCTGGCCAGGCCTAGGGACCCTACCCATGCACAAATTTCATGCGCCTGTCCTCTAGCATACACTCACACACACACACACACACACACACAGCCAAGAAGCGTAAGACCCGGAATCGGTTTAGAGAACATTCCTTCTGTGTTTTCTCCATTAACCTCAAACATAAGACTAATAAATTTTTCCCAAAAACTTCTCTGCTTGTTACTCTTGATTTCTGTATTCAGAAACCCAAAAACATCAAATGCCAATAACATTTCAAAGAAGGAACTTGGGCAATAATAATAATGGGGGGAAAGTAAGTAGTTGAAAACTAACTTACTTTTGCAAGATCATCATAAAAAGAATAAAGATATGCAGCTTCTAAATCCACCAACTTCAGAAAGAAATGCAAACACAGAACTGACCCAAGACAAGGGCATTTACCTGAGGAGCAGCCATGTTATCCTCTTCCTCCTCCTGCTCTGGGTTGTTTCCTCAGGGGAACATATGTTGAGGAATCACACCTGTCTCTCGAGAATATGTCTTGTTTCCACATTCATTGACCTTAAAATGCTGAAAAATGTCACACTCAGTTGTCCTTTCACAGGAGAGATTCAGAAACAAGGGGATCCTACATGAAGCTTGAACTGTGAGTTTTTTCTCTCCTGTCTACTCAGGATGTCCCCTGCCATAGCCATGCACAAATTTCAACCCAGCAATGAGAACATGGGCTGTCCTCCTGCCCCATATCCAACAGAGCACCCTGCTATCCCTTGGACCGAACCTGGCTCTGGACTCTCACAAATGCCTTGGAGCAAAGAGCCCTTCTGCTAAAACACTGGCCTCACTTTTGAGCCACCTGGAGCACCACACCAAAACAATGATGCTCCACCCAGACCAGCTGCCAACCCTGTGGGGGAGGGCACAGTAATGTCATTTCTTATCATCAAATGATCTAATGGAAGGAGACCACTGAGCTAAGCATTTCTCCCACAGCTTTAATGTACAGGCAGAATCCTTGGGGATCAAGACCCCTTCTAAAAAGCTAAGATGCTGTAATTGGCAGTGAGGACCATGAAATGGCATCTGTAGTTCCTGCTGTAGAGAACATGGCTCCTCAAGATCTGTTTTCAGTAGCACTGGGCTAGGGAGATACTAGACACAACACACCTGAGACCTGCGTAAGAAGTTGGGCTAGGAACTTCTACAATAGATTCTAGAAGGACAGGATCCCAGGGTGGATTCCCAGAGCTGGAGTTGTTCTGGAATGGGCATTGCTGGAACTGATCATTGTCACTAATAGAGAAATGTGAAAAGGGAATCCGAAAGCCTGGTCAACCTTAATTGCTCTGAATGGTCGGAACTAATCACTCATTGCTTAGTTGAGACATTGGTTGTTAAAGCAGCCTCCACCTGTTAGTCATCTGTAAATTCTTCCTGATTTTCTATTATTGGAATTTCCTGCCTAATAAGAATGGATTTTTATGGGTAAATCTCATAACCTTAATAAAAGGGATAGTAAGGCCAGAGCAGTGGTAGTCCTCCCCCTAGAGGTGGGCTCCCACCTGGCCCTCCATTTCCCAAATTAATCATTTTCTAGTCTTTCTTCATTTTGTGTGCGGCCTTCTCCAGAACCTGAACCCTGAACAGGAACCCTGGACCACTCGGGACGTGAAAAGGGGCTCCCACATCACATGACCAGGTTCCGGGGCATTTTGCAAGTGCAACAGGGAGGGGGAAATCACCTGGTTGCAACAGGGTTGTGTGAGGGGCCTGCCTCAGAATCCTTCCCAAACTATCCTGAGTCCCCAGGAATTTGCCCCGTCCCCTACAATGGACCAAGTGGAACAACAGGAAAATCTTCTGCCTGACCCACTGCCCACAGATGAGTGGAGCCTCAGTCTCCGAAGGACAAGGAGAAGAAAGGCTTTGTTTAACATTACAGCTTTGTTTGAAAATGAACCAAAGGAGCATAAGCTAGAAGCCTGTCAAGATATGAGAGTATTCACAACCCACTCATTTTCACTTTCTCCAACTGACCCCGAAATACATATTAATTGTTGTTCTTGTTACCATTGTAATATGGCAAGAACACTTCACGTGGGCTCTACCCTTACTATAAAATTTTAAGTGTACAATATAATCGCACTGTTGTACCAACGATCTCTGGAACTTATTCATCTTCAAAAAAATAAAAATTTGTATCCCTAAATAGCAACTCCATTTCCAGTCTCCCTAGCCTCTGGCAACACTAATCTTTCCTCTAATGTCTGTTCCTGTGGGTTTGACGATCTTGTGGGAATTCTAAACCTAGATTTATACACGGTTAATACATTAAAAGTACTTAATTATGACACATAAGTTTAAAAATCTATAAGCTTAATAGTCATATGATTAAACGTAAAGGAAGGAAATAGGATTACATTAAGAGGAGAAAAAGCCCCCAAATCTGATGCAATCTAACAAACACAATTGTTAAGAAAGAAATAGAAAAGAAATGACTAAAATACAACAGATTCACTATAATATAATAAACCCTCAGAGAAGCCCTGAATCTTCATGGGGAAGTTTATGCTTTTGACTGCGGGTAAGCAGGTAAATAGGCTCAAGTCATTATTTCTCATTAACACTGAACCAGTTTATATCACCAGTGTTCTGGGGAAGAAAAAAAGTAGTACCTTTTTCCTCTGTGCATACCTCTATGTCCAGAATTTTTCTTTCTTTCTTTTTTTTTTTTTTTTTAATGATCTTCTTGAGAGAGAATGAGAGGGATAGGCAGAAGTATCAAAGTGTGAGAAAATATCCATCCATAGCCTCTAGCCAACAAAAATGAAACTTGTGTCCCCTGACCAGGAATCAAACTGGTGACCTTTCAGTGCACAGGCCGAAACAATGCTCAAGCAACTGAGCCATGCCAGCCAGGGCCAGATTTCTGCTTTTCCTGAGGACATAATGGAGGGCCCACTATTGATGCTCTTATTTTAACCTGATTATCTCTTTAAGGATCCTATCTTTAAAAAGGGAACTATTCCAAGGTATTGATTAAAACTTCAAGTCCTGGCTGGTTTGGTTCAGTGAACAGAGCGTCAGCCTGTGGACTGAAGCATCCTGGTTCGATTCCAGTCAAGGGCACATGCCCAGGTTGTGGGCTCAATCCCCAGTAGGGGGCGTGCAGGAGGCAGCCAACCAATGATTCTCTCTCATTGATGTTTCTGTCTCTCCCTATCCCTTCCTCTCTGAAATCAATAAAAATACATTTTTTATTAAAAACACAAAAAACTCCAATACCCCCACCTGGCTAAGGTCTCAGTGCTGTTTCTGCCTCTGCTGTCATCCCTTTCTCCCTTTCCATTCCTGCACTGGTCTCACCCAACTCGTTTCTCCTGACTCCATCTTGATAGGCAGACTTACAATCTGATGGAGCACCTGAACTAATTTGAAAAGTAATCCTATTATTTTAAATCTTAGAATACATATACTTATGTGAATAGGGGGTTAAGTTGTTCTTAAACTCCTTTTCAAGGCCTTTGCAAGTCATTAGGAAGGCGAATCCAGCAGAACTGGACTGAAGCAGAACCAATAAGCAGGGTCAGACTGACCCACCAGGAGTCAAAGCATCATCTCATCCTCTGATGACAATAGCTGAGGACCTCCATTCCGTAGCTGCATTCCTTCCCAGCCTCATCCTCACCCCTTCCTCTTTATATTCCCATCCCCTGCACCTTGCTGGAAGTCAGGATTTGATGCTTGTAAGCGCCCTGTCTTCTCGATTGACTGACCTTCTCAATAAACACCTAATATGATTCAACCCTGACTTCCTTATTGGCAGCCCAGCCCACCCGGGGGGTCTCCCTTTAACAATCTGAAGCAACTTGTGCTTTGTGGCCCCCACTTCTGCTAACCAAGGTCTCCTCTCCTTTTTGCTCCCCTTCAAGTGTTTGCACTTCTCCCATTCCCCCATGGTTCTCTATTTGCTACTTTCCCGAGTTCCTCTATCACACTTACCATTGCTTTATAAGGCGATCCCAAATTCTCAACTTAGCCATCTCTCTATGGACCCCTCACTGACAGTTTGGCCCTCTCACTCCCCCCACTGACTGTTTGGCCCTCTCACTACTTGATCTCTTTCTCATAATCCTCCTCTCCCTGAATTAGGCCTCTTCCTGGCCTCCCCTTTGAAGGCACTGCTTCCTAGTAATAAGGTAGGGAAAGTCATTGACAAGTGGAAAAAGGGAAACAGACAAAATCATCAGACAAGACCAACACTGAAGAACTCACAGCCAGCCAATACTTCACAGGCTCTATCTTCCCTAACCCAGGACTCTTAGGAGCAAATGACTTACACATTCCAGACTGTCCCAGGGCCCCCGCTCCTGGGTCCCAGTCCACCTTCAATGACATTCTTGAAAACAAAACTAACCAGAAAGTAACCCTGGCCCCTTTACTCACATTTTGATGAATCAATGTATGAAAAAAGGACACATCTGAAAAGCTACTGACTGTTCTGTAAAGACCCTCCCCTGAGATCTCCCCTAGGATTCCTGCGTGCCAAGGACAGATTTTAAAAAGAGCCTCAAGGCAAAGGATCCAGGTAATGCTGGAGAACGCCCCACCCACACCTACACCTTTCCCTTCCCTGACTTCTTCCTCCACAGGCAACATCTCCTAAAAGCCAAGGGGCCACCCAGGTGAGACTTGCAGGCAGGGAAGCATGGGCAGCAGCAGCTTGTCTGAGGTTTGCCCCCTGAACCTGCTGCGTCCAGGGCCGACTTTTTTGCTCACTGCTATCACCAATTTCACTTTCTCAGCTAAAGCAGGCGGACATAGGTTCTCTCCTGTTGCCTCTTTTATCCTAAGCCCTTCTTTCATTTCACTGTCCCCAGCTCTAATAAACACACTCTCGAAGCCACCTGGGCTCCTGCTGTGAAATTTTTCCTACTCCAAGCCAAGAACCCACACACTACCCGTGGCCCAGACCCTGAAGGGTACCATTGGGACCTCAGTGTTTTTCTAGCCTAAATCACATCTCACGGAAACGTGTGCCCTTCCTTGGCATCTGGCCTTTTAGTGACTAAATGAAGAGTTGGGGGGAGTCCCTAAATATTGTAGATGGTGGGGGAGGATGGCTGTAGAATCCCAGGCCAAGGGGGAATCTAGGAACTGGCCTAGGGTGGGAAGGCTCTCCCGTGGAAGGTTTTAGGCAGGAGAACTAAGCGCTGGCGGGCGGTGTGCCGTGGCCCCAAGAAGGAAAGTTCACAAGCAGGGCGGACGCCGAAAGAGTTTAACCAGAAACTAACGCGGAGACCTCAACGCAAAAGCAAAACCCTAAGGGTCCCAACCTTCCCCGGGGACGCGAGACTTGCCGCCCTGGGAGACCGGGTCTGGGCGTTTCAAAGTCCGCCGCGACCCCCAGGACTCACCTGTATAGGACCTGGGGTGGGGATGCTCGGGTTTAAATGAGAAAAACCGTAAGCCGCCGTTACCTTCCCTCTGCCTAAACCGCTTCCGGGTTTACAAGAAACTGCGCGTGCGCGCCTGGAGACGACAGGGGCGGGGGCGGGGCTCGGGGCGGTGGGCGGGGCTCGGAGACACGGAGAGGCGGGGCGGGGCCGGGCTACCGCATCTCCTCCCCCGGGAAGGGGAGGGCGCGGCTGAGCCCGGGATGGGGATTTGAGGCGGCACTCAACCCCATGGCTAAAGTGACCAGACGTCCCACTTTTGGCGGGACAGTCCCAATTTTTAACAATTTGTCCCGTGTCCTGCGGCGTTTTAAAAAAGTCCCGATTTTTGGACAGAATGCACGACAAGCTAGGGAAGGGCTCCGTATAGACCAAATTTTTAATCAAGAATCCCCACCCCCCACCCCCGCAATGGTATCCGCTTTACCAATGTTAAAATCTGGTCACCTTACCCATGGCGTGCCCTCAGTCTCTGAGGGTCAGCCTGCTTGAGAGTGACAGGACGGGCGAAAGGCTGTGGCAGGCCTTCGCCCAAAAAAAGAAGGTGGTGGGACGGGGCCCAGAGCCGCCTTGATTGCTGGAGCGGGAGCCAAGCCCCCGGAATGGTGGCCAGGGTCAGCTTGCAGCGATTCTGGCTGGGCCCCGGCTCCAGTGTGTTCAATGTCTTTTTGGCCTGTGAAGCAGGGCTATTTCCTGCCCACTTTAAGTAGATGTTTCATCTTATTTTGAAACCTAAAATGTTTTTTGGTGTTTTTTTTTAAACAGGCTGACAGCGGATTTACTCAAAACCGCTATTGGACCCACCTGCGCTTCTTGGCAGAGATGCCAGCTGAACTCCAGCTCCGAGTTCTGGGAGCCTGGACTTGCCTAGCACGTTGTGAGGGAACGATAACCATCCAAATAAGCAATTTCATGAAGCAAGGAGTCTGTGCAGATGATGTGAACATGAAGGTAAAATTACAAATTCTACCTGTATGAAATTACAAATTCTACCTTTGAAAAACATGCCATCACATACCAACATCTGCCAAGACACCATTTCCATTACTAGTCCCCATGCACCCTGTGCTGTCCTGTGCTCAGTTGCAGAGAATTTTATAAGGACAAGATATGAAGGGATGAAGCACGTGATATTTTAAGTCATCATCTATGTGTGTGTGTGTGTGTGTGTTTTTTAATTACAGCAATAAATTTTACAAAATAGATATAAATTGTATTATTATTATTTACATATTCAACACGTGAAAGGAATGATAAACTCAAATACCTATGTTGAGATAGACTTCTGTGATATTGTAATTCATTTGTCATTATTTCTACTATATTTATAATGCAATCTCAAACTTCTATTTATCCAAGAGTAAGAAGAAAGAGTATTTTTATCTATTTATTTTTTATACTTTAGATTTTTGTGTTTGTTTTCTATTCACTGAGGTTCTGTCGGAGTGGATAATAAATGCAGTAAAGAATATATATATACCTTTCTAGTAGACACTTGAATTTGTTTTCATCTATAGGATATTTTTGCAACATTTCTAAAGGCATTCGGTAGAGTGTTTATCCTCTTTTAGATGAACCCTACAGGAAGTTAAGCAATCTTATCAAACTTCCAAAGGTCTCTTAAACTTTCAATAAACTTTAAGGGAATATATATATATGAAACTAGAGGCCTGGTGCATGAAATTTATGCACTGGGGGTTGGTGTCCCTCAGCCCATCCTGCACCCTCTCCAATCAGGGACTCCTCGGAGGATGTCCAACTGTCAGTTTAGGCCTGATCCCTATATAGCTTAAACGGCAGTCAAACATCCCTCTCACAATCCGGGACTGCTGGTTCCCAACCGCTTGCTTGCCTGCCTGCCTGATTGCCCCTAACTGATTCTGCCTACCAGCCTGGTCGCCCCCAACTGCCCTCCCCTGCAGGTGTGGCTGCCCCCAACTGCCCTCCCCTGCCAGTCATCTTGTGGCAGCCATCTTTGACCACATAGGGGCAGCCATCTTGTGCAAGGGCATGAGGGTCAATTTGCATATTGCCTCTTTATTATATAAGACTAGAGGCCCGTTGCATGAAGATTTGTGCAATAGGCCTTCCTTCCCCTGGCTGCTGGCACTAGTTTTCCTCTGGCACCCAGGCCTTCACTCTGGCTGCCGCCTTCAGCCTTCCATTTTCACTCCTATAGCTCCCTCTGCCTCCAGCCCTCCACCTCATAGCAGGCGTCCTGTCCCACCTAGCACAGACACTCCGTGCCTGCATGCATGCTGCCCAGAGCCTTGGAGCAGCTGGGGAATAGGGCTGCTGCAATCTTTGTTGGGTTAATTTGCATACTCATTTCTGATTGGCTGGTGGGCATCATGAAGTGATGGTCAGTTTGCATATTTCTCTCTTTTATTGGTGTAGATAATACCCATCATGAAATGCATGTTTCTCTCAAATCCCTACATATGCCAATAAAAATTTTTGATGAGATAAAGGCATTTTGGATAAAAATTCCTTTAACATATAATAAATTTAAAGGTGTCATTGCCATATATTAGTACATTATGTGGTGTTTCCTAAGATTATGCATTATACACTTTCAACATTTATTACATTTAAGTGACCTAATATTTTGTAAGGTTTGAACATCATGACTCATAAAAGTTGTAAGATTTTATTCCAAACTTAATATCATGATGATCTCCCAAGTATTGAAATTTGTATAAGAATTTTGACACAAATACATATTTTGGGCCTTTTTTTAGATATATATTTGCTGAACTTCAGTAATGTTAGACCCTTGGAAAAATACATTTCCCAATTCATTCTTTTAAAAAATATTTTTATTGACTTTTCTGAGAGGGAAAGGGAGATGGGGAGAGAAACATTGACGTGACAAGAAAGCAACCCAGGCATGTGCCCTGGTTGTGATTCAAACCAGCAACCCTTCAGTGCAAGGATGACACTCAATCAACAGAGTCACACCAGCCAGGGTCCAATTCATTATTATTTCTTCTTCTTCTCCCTCTCCTCCTCCTCCTCCTCCTCCTCCTCCTCCTCCTCCTCCTCCTCCTCCTCCTTCTTCTTTTTGTTTATCATCAACCAATGACATTTTCTCCACTGATTTTTAGAGGGAGTGGAAGGAAAGGTGAGAGACAGACAGCATAATAATCTCCAGGTTCCTCCATGCTGTCCCAAAGGGTAAGAGAGCCTTTTTTTTTTTTTTTTTTTTTTTTTTTTTTTTTTTTTTTTTTTACTGCTGCATAGTATTCCATGGTATTAATGTACCACAGGGTTTTTATCCACTCATCTAATGATGGGCACTTGGGCTATTTTTAGATCTTAGCTGTTGGAAATGCTGCTGCTATGAACACAGAGGTGCAAATATTCTTTCTGATGGTGTTTTAAGATTCTAAGGGTATATTCCCATAAGTGGTATGGATGGGTGATAAGGCAGTTCCATTTTTAATTATTTGAGGAAACTGCTTATTATTTTCCACAGTGGCTGCACAAGTCTGCATTCCCACCAGCAGTGAACTAGGGTTCCTTTTTCTCCACATCCTCATCAGCACTTGTTTGTTGATTCACTGATGCATAACAATTCTAATAGGTGAGAGGTGATACCTCACTGTTGTCTTAATTTGCATTTCTCTGAAGATTACTGACATTAATCATTTTTCCTATGTCCATTGATCATCTGTATGTCCTCTTTTTATTAATATTTTTTATTGATTTTACAGAGAGGAAGAGAGAGCGATAGAGTTAGAAACATCGATGAGAAAGAAACATCGATCAGCTGCCTCCTGCACACCCCTACTGAGGATGTGCCCACAACCAATGTACATGCCCTTGACCGGAATCGAACCTGGGACCTTTCAGTCTGAAAACTGATGCTCTATTCCCTCAACCAAACTGGCTTTGGCTCTCTTTTCACTTTAATGGTTTATTTTGCTGTGCAGAAGCTTTTTAGTTTCATATAGTCCCATTCATATATTTTTTCCTTTGTTTCCCTAACCTAGGAGATGTATCAGCAAAAATAATGCTATGTGAGAGGTCTGAGATATTATGGCTTCTGTTCTCTTTTAGGATTTCTCTGGTTGTGTGGCTTAAATTTAAATATTTTATTCATTTTCACTTTATTCTTGTGTGTGATATAATTTGATGTTCTAATTTTGTTTTGTTTTTTTTGCATGTACCATCCAATTTTTCCAAAACCATTTATTGCAGAGACTGTCTCTACTCCCTGAATGCTCTCACCTCATTAGTCAAATTAACTATATGGTGTGGTAATTTTTGGGGGTGTCTGTTCTTTTCCATTTCTATATATGCCTGTTCTTGTGCCAGTACCAGGCTTTTTTTTATTTTCTTTTTCTTAAGACAATGGCTTTGTAGTATAGTTTGATATCCCATGTGATCATTTTCTAAAGATAGCTAAGGCTATATGGAGTCTTTTTTGGTTCCATATGAATTTTTGGAATTTGTTCTAGGTCTATGAACAATGCTGTTTGTATTTTGATATGTATTGTATTGAATCTAGAGATTGCTTTTGGGTAGTATGGACATTTTAATGATGTTAAATCTTAAAACTCCATGAAACGATATATGCTTCCACCTGTTTGTATCTTCCGCTATTTCTTTTTTCAGTGTCCTATAGTTTTCCAAATAGAGGCTTTATAACTCCTTGGTTAAGATTATCCCCCCCGCCCCCCTCAATAGTAAATGGGATTGGTGGGGGGTTTTTTAGTTTCTCTTTCTAAGAGTTCTTTATTGTTGTATAAAATGCCACATGCCTGTGGACCTGGACAAAACCCAGAAGATTTGTATATGGGCACCTGTGAGGCAGACAGTGGGTCCTCCACTTTCCTTCTTACTTCTTATTTTCAGTTTGGCTTTCCTAGGCTTGCACAAAAAACTTAACTTTTTTGGTTTATATTATTTTATTCTGTTCAAGCTAATAGTATATTAAAAATGTTTTCATATTTTTTGTTGATTTCAGAGATAAAGGAAGGGGGGGGAGAGAGAGACAGAGAGACAGAGAGACAACATCAATGATGAGAGAAAATCACTGATTGACTGTCTTCTGCA